AGACGACAGTCGGGGATAACCAGTGCTTTCAGGCTTTTGAATTGAAGATCCAAATTGTCTGGCATTTCTTCTTGATCAAAGTTATGGGCGAGGATCAACATGGTTAAATTTTTGCAGTTCTGCAGGATCTGAAGAGCCAAGGATATGTTGCTGATGCTGGTGTTGGAGAGGGATAGGTATTTCAGTGCCTGGAGATTTCTGAAGTTGTTTGGGATCTCACCGCCGATATTGTTTCTTGCGAGATTGAATGCTGTCAAGGTCTTGCAAGAGAATAAGCTGTCCGGGAGTGGACCAGAGAAATTATTACCGACAAGGTTGAGGGTGGAGAGACGAACCATGGAGGAACAGTTGAAATTGATCGGACCAGACAGGAGGTTCCTTGAAAGAACAACCTTTACCAGGGAAGGGGAATTTACTAGAGAATTGGGCAACTTACCGCTGAATTTGTTTGAAGTTGCAGTAAAGTATTCGAGCTTTCCTAGGCTACCGAACATATCCGGGATGTTTCCGGTGAAGTTGTTGTTGGAGACATCTAGCTCAACAAGACTAGAGAGGTTGCCGATTCTATCATCCAGTTGGCCGGAGAATTGATTATCCTGAAGATGAAGTCGTTGAAGGTTTTGTAATTGGAGAAGATTCGCCGGTAAAGCCCCGGAAAGACTGTTTCCGTTGAAAGAAACATTCTGCAGGGAAGTACAGTTCTGGAAAAAGGTTAAAGCTTCTCCATTGAAATTGTTGTTTGAAACATCAAGAACTTGGATGTTGGTTGAGATGTCACAAAGGGAAAAATTGAGAGAACCTGAAAAATGATTGTGTGAAATGTTAAAGGAAGTAATTGAGGGTAACCAGATGCTAGCCGAGAGGGAACCCGCGAAGTCATTGCTAGACAGGTCAAGAATTTCCAGATTCTGAAACAGAAAAAATCTGGTAGGTGAACCCTGAAGAAAATTGTTGGATAGATTCAAGGTTTTCAGCTCATCCAAACCCAACAATGACTCGCAGACAGTTCCATAAAGCCGGTTGCTCCCGAGCTCTAGCCCAACAACCCTCAGGCTTGAGCTGGTGGAGTTAGCACAAGTGACACCAGTCCAAGAGCAGCAATCGTAGTTAGAGACATTCCAGCCGCCAATATCTGATTCCAAACAACCAGCTAAGCCTCTAAGGGCCGTTAGGTCATTAGGATTGCAGGCAAGCACCTTACATGAAAGGATCAGAGGGTAGAGAATGGAAAGTAATCTAATAAAAGGCAAGGATGAAGAGATCTCTGGGATATCCATGGCAGCTGCTGCTTCTTCTCAGGCATTAGTTTCATACGAAGGTGATATAACGTTTTGTTCACCCAGAGAAAAGAATGCCACAAAGTCCACAACAGAAATGGCAGCAAACTTCAACATTTTAGTCAATGTTTTAGGTAGTTAATAGTTATTGTATTTGGAAGAAAAATATTATTATTTTATGTGTAGTCTTCCTCTATAAAAAGGAAGAAATTGAATGAAAATTGAGTAAGAAAAAGCATGGTTTCTCCTCTCTGGTTGGTTGAATGTCTGCACCCTTCCATGTTTATGACTTTATGTTCTATGTCCTGTTCTAAGTTCTACTCTTGTCCTACTCTCCTCCAGGTCCTCTCTCAACCCTTTTTTCTGACCTCAAAAATCTAACAAAAATCATTAATTCAAACTCAAAAGAACTCGAGCCACAACTTGTGGACCATTTCACACCCTATTTTATACTACATGTACAATAACAAACAGGTAATCCTTTATGATTTACAAAGGAATGGAGAGAAGAGATGCAAATGCCAAACGCAATTACTTCCTATATATTCAGGAAAGTACTTTTAAAGACTATAACGGGTAGCAATTTATGGCATTTCTTCTCCATGATTCAAAATTTTCCACCAGAGACTGAATCAGAAATCATGAACCCGAACTCAAAGCCAAGCAGCCCAAGAATATATATCATTACTCTAATTCTACTAATCACAAATCAATGAATCCACTAAAGAAGCACCTTTACCACACCGGGAACTTTAACTTAGAGTTCAAGTATGGGAAGCTAAGTTCATCAAGATAAGAGCCTGATGTTGTAATACTATTAATAATGTCATTGCAAAATCAATATTTATGCAAATAAAGTGAACCCAACAATGCCAGAGACTTGCCATCTATTACCAGAATGGTGTGTAATGTTGCAAAAACTTGCAGAGAAAAAATATTTTACTTGCCTAGTCAAAGGAAAACTGAAAAATTATTGAAAGTGGCTTCTACAGGTTCCAGCAAACCCCTCTCTCAAGAGAATTTAACTTCCAGGTTTTCTACAAGCCATAGGCATTGCCAGAGTATGAGCTTTCTGCAGGGGGGAATATGTGGGGAACAATAGATCCTATAACCCAAACATGTCTCATGGCTTCAAACAAGGCAAAAGAAAAGAAATGAAATGGGTCGAATGTCAAGATAATCCACTGTTATCAGAATAAGCAATTATTAAATTAAAGAAATGATGGTTATCACTCAATATCAAATCAGAAAAGCTGAAAGCTAAAACTTCAAAAAATATTTTCTTTGAAATAATTGTTCAGCTCAACTATCCCCTGGAACAGGACATTTTAGACAAGGGAAGATTGATACTTACAAGGCAATATAATCAGTAAAGTCCCAAAAATTTCCACCAGACGGTTCCAACAACTCCCCAGATAGTAGCATTAATGAGGGCCATTATAAAGCCAATTCTAAATACGTCAGGTAGGTTTACATAACCAGCTGTTGACAGAAAAAAAATGATAGTTAGAATCGTATCAGTCATCCTGCCAATGTAAAGACAAACATTGTGCATTTCAAAGAGGTGTATAACTCTTGGCTGGTGGAAAAATGGGGAACAATGAGACTTGGCATTTTGAAATGATTTTGGAAGTCAAATTAGTACACAAATAATCTCTTCTTTTTCTGTCTCATCCAACTTACGGAAAATGCAGACATACAATTTGGAGCATAACCATGTGAACAAATCTGTGGATCAAGGGCAGGAGGAAGCTGGGTTGGGGAAGAAAATCGAGGTAATATTATCAATTTTGATCACTGGTGAGAGAAAGCTTTGTCTGTGACTCATGCAAAAGAGTGTGCGTGTGTGTGTGTGTGTGTTTGTGTGTGTGTGTGTGTTAAAGCAGCAAAAAGACTTGTGTTGTAGGCTAAGGCCATACCTCCATAATATACAGCTGCCTGACCACTGCTATAATGTGTTAAAGCACCAAAAAGATTTGTGTTGTAGGCTAAAGCCAAAGCTGCTAATACAGCAGGTACCCCAGCAGCCAGGTGCATTGCTAGAAAGGCTGAGAATAGAGCACCGACATGACCAGTTTGACTTGCGAATAGGTAGTGGATAAAGAAATAAGCAGCCTGAAGAACACCGAATGCAGCAGGCCAGCTCAAAGAAAGAGACTGAAGCAACTTCCCTACACAATTAGACATCCAGGTTACAACACCAAGGTTTGTCAATTGCCCAGCCATGCCCACCAAAACAGCAAACCAAGCCAAAGTATCCCATGCTGATTTTTCACTTAAGCAATCATCCCAATCAAGCACTCCCAGCAAAAGGAGTATTGACAAACCAATCATTGCAGCCACAACACTCGGAATACCAAGAGCATCCCTAGATGAGAATCAGGAGAGAACACTAATTGTTATTAATTACCATAGAACAAATGGTAAACTACAGATGTTACTAAAATGGTAAGACAAAAAATCCTAGAGAAATAGGTGACCACTAGAGAAATTATCAAAAATTAAGAGAGAATTAAATAAATAAATGACCATGTGAAAGGTCAAGAGGCTCAGGCTCCAATGACAATTTTTAACAAACATACAGTACTCCTACACCACATTCATTTTTGGTACATTGATACCCCAATTCTCAATTGCTTGCTTCTTTTTACTGGTAAACACTGAATATCATTCTATGTTCACCTAAAACACCAGTTTTCCATTGGGCGTTGTCCATTGATTGAGAATAGTTTTGAACCCTAGATGTTGAGAGGGCAGTGCATCTGTACATGTACATCACAGATTTGCAAAAATAATATGATCGACATTCATAATTTAAAGTGAACTGCTAAAGTTTTTGTTAAACAAAAATGTTCTGGAGCCTCAGAAATTTAATCAAAAGTGTATTCTAAAATTCCCATCAACCCATGCCTGGTATCATGGTTTTAGGATAACACATGCCTTATGACTAATTACATGGTAGTCCCAAAAAATGGTATCAAAGCAATCAGATATAATCATCACAAAACCAATAAATTTTTTAGGGAAATGATGCAAAGAAATAAATATGCAATATAATGCATACATATCATATCTGTCAGATACTACTTACCCACAGACCCACAAAGAAACTGCAAGAAGCATCGTACCAACCATGATCCATTCATTTCTTGAAACAGGACCCATGGTCTCTAGCTTTTTTGCAGCCATGGCAGGGGCATCCGGTGTGTCTTTGGTTTCAGGTGGATAAAGCTTGTATAAGATAAATGGCGTAGCCAGTAAAGAAACAAGGGCTGGTAAACTGGCAGCCTTGAACCAAGAAACCCAAGGGTTTGCAATTATGATTCCCAATTCCTCTGCTAATTTGAGGCACAGCAAGTTCTGAGCTGCAGCAGTCAGAAAAAGAGCACTAGAGTTGGCAGCACACTGTCATGATGCAGGATACACAAAAGAGAACAAGATGAGTCACAGACAGTAACAAAGAGAAAGCTGACAAGATATAGAAACAATAGACATCCACAAGTTTTGATTGGTTGAGTGCAACAGAGTTGTGCTGAGTATTATTTGATTGGTTGCAGCAGCAAATTGCTGCTCATGTATATTACAGTTCTGGATGAATAAAAATTTTACATTTTATCCAAAAAAAAAAAAAAAGTTTTGATGGGACTAATTTATCACATTTTAAGGGGATAAGGTCCAACAAAATTAAAAGAGAAAATTAGGAGGATTTTCATCAAAGTAACAAAAATACATGCTAAACTACAGGTAGAAAAGCATTGGATTAAAAACTCTAAAACAGCTTAAAACAAAAGGGAAGAACTTATATTTCTCTCAAGAAGATGCTATCAATATCTTTTCTCTTCCTTTTAAACATGCCAACTAGCATAGCTGAACCTTGCTAGTGGGTGTAACACATCTAAGTATTAACTCTCTAACATCATTTTCTAATTCAATTAGCAAACAACTTCCACATTGCTTGACCATCATGGGATTTTCCTCAAATAAAAAGTGTTGATTTTGAGAATATCCCAGGTTGGCCTTCTCAATTAAAACAACAGAAACCTCTAGTGCATAGCCAAATAAATCTACTCTAGTTGTGTTGCGTCATATCCAAACTTCAAATTGCATACAGCAAATCAATCTGCTCCACTATCAAACGTGTACTAAAGTAATATTCAACAAAAGAACAGCAGTCATCTAGGGTCAGAACATTAAGCGAATGGAATCAAACCAATTAACATACAAATTGCCAATACAAATCAATTCTGCATTTATTCAATTGACCATGCATCACTGCATTAAACAAACAAAACAAAACAAGATTCAGATAAGTAATATTAACCTGAAACTGTGTCTTGATGAGATAACTCCCAAGCTTCTTGGAAGACCCATCTCCGGGCTTACTTCCAGCCGACAGCGACAACGATTTGATAATCGGCAAGAAAACTCCACCGGCCCTTGCAGTGGTACTCGGCATTGCAGGCGCAATCAAAGCCTCACTCAATGTCAGCCCGTAGGACAAACCCAACGTACTCTTTCCCAGCCATTTCACGAAATAAGTAGCGATCCTGTCACCAAGCCCCGTCTTCACAAACCCACGAGCGAAGAAGAAGGAAATGACAATCAGCCAAATCACCTCGTTAGTGAATGCACCGAACGCCGTAGAAAATGACAGCGTCTTGCTGACTATAGAGGTTGTGAGGCCGAGAAACGCCCATGCTCCTACGGGCAACGGACTCAAAACCAGACCCGCAATTGTAGACAAAAAGATGGCCAGAAGTTGCCATGCTTGTGGGGTCACTGCCACGGGTTTAGGAACAAGAAAACGAACAATCAGCCCAATAGCAATGGATATAAAGAAAGGAACGGGTTTAGCTCCTTGAGGAGGGGCCGGAGACGGCGTTTGGATTAGTGGGGAGTCGTCTTTTGGAGTGGCATGAACAGTGGAGAGACAGGATTTGGGGATTTTGGGCAGATGAGAGAACAAAAGGGGTTTGAGAGAGGTTCGCAGAGTGGGGAATGGAGAGCTGGGGAGGACGGACGGCGGTGATCTGGAGATAGGTTTAGAACGGAGGTGGAGGGAAGTGCGAGAGGAAAGGGCGAAGGAGGTGGAGAGGGAGTGGAAGGCTAAGCTCTCCATTGATCGAGAGAGAACAGAAGGAGGCCGAGGACTAAGGGGTGGCAAAGGTGGGGAGTATTTGTGAGTATCAAGGCGTCGATGGGCGTAAATTCCGAGGGGAAAGAGAGAGGTGGTGATTGGCGGTGGTGATTCGGAGGTGTCCTGTTGTGCAGAGGGGATTTGTGGAAACGTATGTTGAGGTTTTTACTTTGAGGCTCTGTTTGTTTAGAAATAGAGGGAAATTTTCATCCATTATTTTATATTTTTATAGTACACTTTTTAATGTTAGTTTTTCCTTCGTGTGATGGGACGTTCGTAGTAACTCCTTTTCGATTTTAAATTGCAACTTGACAAAGTAGTTTAGAGCTAAGAAAACCATTTCCCTTATCAT